TCGAATTCGAACAACGATACCTACTAAAGAAAAGTTTTGGGTTTCCTTTGGCTCTAATAAAAACAAAAACTTTTCACATAATTTCTAAAGCAACACAAAATATGCCCTAAAAGAACTAAAATCTTAAGCATGAACCCAAAGAAATAAAGCTTTTAAGCAAACCATCGAATTATCTAAAAAATGAAAGATTACAAAATTACCAACTCGCATGAAACAAGAATCTGAGCTCCAAAAGCGCATCCAAATCGCTCCGGCGAGAATTTAACGGCGGCGAATTCTCTCGGTGTCGGTGTTTCGCGGCGGTAGGGTTTTAGTCGCCAAGGAGAAAAGCTTACTCTGTTAGTAGTGAAAGATATTTTTTTTTTGAAACGGCGAGTTCACAAAAAGTAAATTTACGAAAACGGTACCTTATATTTTATATGTTTTTATAAAAATAGCCCAAAATTATTTTATTATCAAAACGGTCCATTTCTATTTTACAATCACTCACTAAAATTTGTTTTTTCTTCTTCCTCTGCTTCCTCAACAATGGCTACAGCTACAACCTTATCATCATCATCATCGCTACAGTTCATCAATGGCTCACACAGATTTATCTCTGTAACTCCTTTCTCTTTTACCTCTATCTTCCTCCGCCGTCGAATCCGTCGCCTGAAACCCTCGTTCGCTTCGTACCGGAGCTCTCAGGTACGTCTGATTATTTCTCCTACTCATGCGAAATCCGAAATTTGAATCCATCTCTTTATTCTTTAGTCGCGTAGACGATACGAATCGGACGATCGATTCTTCGGTGGGTACGACGAGTACGATGTTGTTCCTGAAGACGATGGGTTTAGCGACGATGAAGAAGACGAGAGAGAAAGTAGCGTCGATCTTCTGATTAGATTCTTAAGAAGCATGTTTAAGAAGGTCTCTAAGCGAGCTAAAAAGGCATCTCGACGGATTTTACCATCCGCCATGTCTCCTCGATTAGTGAGTCTCTTCTTCTCCATTAAAGCTGTTCAAATTCCTTCAGTTTTTGGGGAAGTTTCATGTTCTCTAGCTTCAAACTCCATTTTTGTAGCTTGTAAATTGTTCCTATGAGTCTAATTTGTGTTGCACATTGTTAAAGCCTCTCTCTAAATTGATTTGCAGGTGTCTTTTGCAGTAGATGGGATATTGCTATTGGGTTCACTTTCAATAACAAGAGCATTTCTTGAGGTATCGTTTACCATTTCGCTTACTCGAATATGTTCGTATTGTATATGGTTAGATTCTGTGTTGTGTGATTTGGTTTTGGGGGTTCCTTTGTTGCAGCTAGTTGATCAGAGAGTTAGAGAAGATTGTGTTAGTTAACATGATAGATCTGAATTGTATGTATGTATGTATAGTGTGCAGCACTCTGCATCGTTATATCGATGTTTCGGTTAAGTAAGCTTTCTAAATAGAATGAAATGTTGAACTAGTTTTATAGTGATAGTGTTCTTATCGAACTTGTTTAACTCGGATGAACCTTATAAGTAGTGCTTGGATGTTTTGTTAATGAGACTCGTTGTAAATGGGGTGGCCATAAGAAGTTTATGAATTAGGCTGACTTCAATTGGTTGTGTTGTTTCATGGATCGTGTTGCAAACTTTTCTCGTAGGTAATATGCAATCTTGGAGGAACGGTCTTTACGGTGATTCTGATGATCCGATTGTTCTGGGCGGCAGCTTCGTTCTTCCAGACTTACGGGAACTCTTTTGGACCAAACCCGTTAACTTAAATCTTAGCTTTTACCCCATTTAAGTGTTAGATATTGTTTGTTATTCATGTATTTTCGCCTAGATTTGTAAATGAAAGTGTAAGATAGTTGTGCACATATTGGTGTTAAGTTATCTAATAATCATGAGTAAGAAGACGAAACAGAACAGATTAAAGAATGTTCTCATTCACCAATATTGGAGAGAGATAAATGAAAATTTAGTTGATGGTTGAGTAAACAAATCTGCAAGCTGAATTTTGCATCCACGATGATATTAGAAACAAACACCTTTTCTTTTCTGTTTAAGGTTTTTTATTAACTGTGTAAAAATGATTATAAACTCTTAGGACTAGAGAGGTCTTTTCGTTTGTTCATTTGGTTCATCTGAA